GTTATACATAAATGCTCAGATATAAAATCTAGTTCTATTTAAGAATTATGGAAAGGCTATCCAGAGAGATTAATTTTAACCAAAAGTTGTATATCTGAATTTAAAAGTCAAAATGTTTTAAAGAAAATGGGTAAAAATTCTAATCTTACCAATACCACAAATTTAAACTGTCTGTAGTTACATTTTTATTTTGCATTATAGTTAAGTTAGGCATGTTTTAACATTTAAAGTTTAGAAAATATGCCAGGGAGTGAGTGAGAGATTCAAGAAGCTCAATCTATTTAGTTTAACAAAGAGGAAGTTAAGGGGTGGCTTGATTATGGTCTATAAGTACCTACCTGGGAAAAATATTTAATAATGGGCTCTTCGGTCTATCAGAGAAGGGTGTAACACAATCCAATGACTGGAAGTTGAAGCTAGATAAATTCAGTCTGGAAATAAGGGTTACATTTTAAACCATGAGCGTAATTAATCATTAGAACAATTTAGCAAGAGTAATGGTGGATTCTCCATCAGTGACAAATTTAAAATCAAGATTGTATTCCCCCCCCGCCCAAACATATGTTCTAGGGATTATTTTGGGGAAGTTCAATGGCCTGTGTTCTACAGGAAGTGAATTAGATTACCACAATGTTCCCTTCAGGTCTTAGAACCTATGAATCTATGAAATAACACAGATTTCTTATTGTAAATAAAAGGTATAAATATAAAAAGGCCTGTTCAGTAGTCAGTACATTTTCTCTTACTGACAAACCAGATGAAAATGTCATTTTAATCCAAAGAATGAGCAAGCAACTAATCATTATGAAAATAAATGATCAATTTGAATAGTGGCTGTAAAACATTCCAGTCACTTATTTCTGCTTAGTACTGAAGGGATTCATTATTCAGTGCTGGTTAATCTGACCATTGGAATCAATATAAAGAAATAAATGGAAAATCAACTATAAAAATGATCCTCCCGGTTAAAGACAAAGGGAACCTGTCGACTGTTAAAAGTCTTTCTGAAAGAAAAGGAACCTTTTTTGTATATAGTGTTTAGCTCACTGGAAACAAGTATTATTGTTACTGAATGATCTAATCTGAAAACTGTAATGTAAATTGTGCTGGATAAAATCAGGTTTTTGTCTATAAGTATTCCATTTATTATTTGGGGGAAAAAAGAAAATATGTTGAATAAATTTAATTAAAAACAGATGAGTGGCTTTGAAAATATGTTAAGTACATTTAATCCGTTAGTAAGAGAAGATTCACCAAGTGATGGTGAACTCAGTGAAGAACTGAGTGTGAAAATCAGAGATGTATGTAGATTTACAGATCTCAAAAGGGGTACCGGCAGTACTTCTGTCGGTGGGGGAAAAGAGTCTGACCATGTGACCCAAATCCGGAATTCTAGACCCTCCATTTCAAAGCGCGGGCTTTTCAAACTGCCCAATCAGAATTAAGAGTTCAAACTCAACGCTGTCTCAGATCAGCCCAATACCTTTGAAATCACCAAGAAATCTTAAGAACCATCCACTATTAACAAGGTCGAGGAAAAACAAACAAACCAACACAAAAAATAACGAACCAATCCTCCCCCCCCCCACCAATCAAACCGAAAAAAACGAAGTGCTCCTTAAATTATGTCGAAAGAGAGAGAAATTAAATTTCCAATCAAGGCTTTAAATAGAATTCATATAAGTGTTGTTTCTCATGAATTCTGAATTAAGTCACTGAGGCTAATTAGGTTGTAACGTCGTTTCAACCCTGGCATTTCATGTCAGCTCGGGCTCGTGCTAATCAGGTTACGGTTACCTTTTATTATTTAAAAGTGCAGCTCCGGTGTTGTCACGAAATCATAATTTAAATGATAAAAACGACAATAATAAATAATTCTTTAAGTTTCGAAGTATACGCATTGTTCAACCGACCTCCAGTTTATTCTGTGGGAGGGTGTGCTACCTCTTTCTGTTTGAAATAGGTTTATAATGAACTCATTGATACAAATCACTCGCTTTCTTTCCTAATTAGAAGAAGACCGTCAAAGGAATAGCATTACATTATTTCTCTGATCTTTTTGACAAAGGGACATTTTTAATTTACAAAGAAAAACAAAATGTTCTCTCTCTCGAGGTCCATCCAGCTTCAGTACTCAGAATTTATAATCTTTTCTTTAATGCAATTTCATTATTTTCTGAAGGAAACACTAATGGATGAAAATACCCTGTTTCAAATTCATTTGGCTGAGAAAAGGGATAATTTGGTGGCAAATATTGTGCAAAAAAATACACTTTATTGACTCCGAAGAAACACAAAATGAGAGAGGAGAGACGAGCCCTTTCAGGTTTGCAGCTGGGCGGGCTCTTTAACGCACCAATCAGAGAGTGACCCCTCCCTATAAATAACAGGCATCAGACTAGTTCACTTCAGTTTATGTTTTTTTCCGATTTTGTTACGTGTCTGTGATCATGTCTGAAACTGCGCCTGTAGTTGCAGCAGCAGCTGCCCCTGCTCCAGCCTCTAAGGCTCCAGCTAAAAAGGCAAAGAAGGCAGCCGGGGGTTCGAAACTCCGGAAGCCCTCGGGCCCCAGCGTAACCGAGCTGATCACTAAGGCAGTATCAGCCTCTAAGGAGCGCAAAGGGCTCTCTTTGGCTGCTCTTAAGAAAGTTTTGGCAGCTGGCGGGTACGATGTAGAAAAGAACAATAGCCGTATTAAGCTGGGGCTGAAGAGTCTGGTGAGCAAAGGCATTTTGGTGCAGACTAAAGGTACTGGTGCCTCTGGTTCCTTCAAACTCAACAAGAAGCCTGGCGAAATCAAGGAAAAGGCACCCAAGAAAAAGCCAGCGGCAAAGCCTAAGAAACCAGCTGCCAAGAAACCCGCCAGCACCGCTAAGAAGCCTAAGAAAGCTGCGGCGGTGAAAAAGAGCCCGAAGAAAGCCAAGAAACCAGCGGCTTCCGCGGCTAAGAAAGCGGCCAAGAGCCCGAAAAAGGCCAAGCCCGCCAAGCCCAAAAAGGCAGCTAAGAGCCCGGCTAAGGCCAAGGCGGTGAAGCCCAAGGCTGCCAAGCCTAAACCAACCAAACCTAAAGCAGGAAAGGCTAAGAAGGCAGCGCCCAAGAAGAAGTGAAGCTGTTTGAAGAGAAAAATCGAATCTCGTGCAAACAAACCCAACGGCTCTTTTAAGAGCCACCCACCCCTTCTCCAAGGAGCTGAAACACCTAGTGTACCTATGCATCAAAGGTTGCTTTGGTAGAGGGCCTGGTTTTTTTACCTTTACAACATTCCAAAAACTCTATATAGTGTAAGAAACCACTGTAATACCTCCGAGCCAAAAACAATTTAGAAAAATCTAATGTTGGTTGGGTGAGGTTTTTTTTTTTTAATCCATGCTAACACGGATTCTAGCCATTATTTAGACTTTTTTGTTAGAGCTCGTCCCGCTAGCAATTTAGAACTCCCTTCTCTCGGTCTATTTTGCCTAGCTGTTGGGAGTATATCACCGGTTAAGCAGTATGAATAGTTGTTTTGCGGGGATTGGGGAAAATTTGAAAAGTCCGCGCTTTTGAGCAATTGGATAATTTGAAAAAACCGCGTTTTACAACGATTCGTCCATGACGCGCCTCTTTCCCTTCCACCCTTGGGTTTGTTTGAATTCAGTGAATCCACTCCATTTACCCGTACAAATTAAATATTCTGGTGTGTTTAAAATTTACAGCAATTTTTCTAAATTTAATTCTCGCTTTTTAGTTAGATTATAACTAAACCATAGTTAGATTATAGGCGGAAATGTAGTACTCATGAAAATACATAAATCAGAATAGGCACACGGTAGAAAGAACAGAAGTATTAAGTTTTTAATAAACTAAAGAGGCAGTGATTAAAGCTTTAGCCCTAATCGGTCTACAAAAAATTTCACTTAATGAAAAGTAAACTAGAGTTTACAACACTCAGAACGTGTTTTTTTAAAAGCATGTAATAGATTCGTGTATTAGGAACTCAACTCTTTTTCTGTTACTGTGGGTGGCTCTGAAAAGAGCCTTTGGGTTGATCTAGTATATGGTCACTTTTACTTGCTCTTCGCCTTATGGCTCTCAGTTTTCTTGGGCAGCAGCACAGCCTGGATATTGGGCAAAACACCCCCTTGAGCAATGGTGACTTTCCCCAACAGTTTGTTGAGCTCCTCGTCGTTTCGGATGGCGAGCTGTAGGTGACGAGGAATGATTCTGGTTTTCTTGTTGTCTCGCGCAGCGTTGCCAGCTAGCTCCAGAATTTCAGCGGTCAGATACTCCAATACCGCGGCCATATAGACCGGGGCGCCAGCACCCACCCGCTCAGCATAGTTACCTTTGCGGAGAAGACGGTGCACACGACCTACAGGGAACTGTAGCCCAGCTCTCGAAGAACGAGACTTGGCCTTCGCCCTCACTTTACCGCCCTGCTTTCCTCGGCCCGACATTGACTCGCTAGTTCACAAAATCAAAACACTTTTTAAAAGACAAAACCTGGAATTAATAGCGCCCCGCCCGAATCCTGCCTTTTTATCCCTTCCTTGTGGTACAGACACTGATTCATGATTGGTTGAAATTTTTCATTGTATTTCCAACCAATGGTGATGAGGATTTTATTTTGACCAATTGGATGTAGGGTTTATCGTGTGTGACGTGACTTTTAGCTGGGCCCAATAAAAAATGAAAGATTACAAGCGTCTCATTTGCATAAGGTCCCTATAAATAAGAGGGGTGGCCGCCATTATATTTACGTTGTTTCTGTCTTTTAGAGAAAGCAACAAATCTCAATATGCCTGAACCAGCGAAATCCGCTCCAGCGCCTAAGAAAGGGTCTAAGAAAGCTGTCACTAAGACTCAGAAGAAGGGCGACAAGAAGCGTAGAAAGACTAGGAAGGAAAGTTACTCTATCTACGTGTATAAAGTGCTGAAGCAAGTTCACCCAGACACTGGTATTTCTTCTAAGGCCATGGGCATCATGAACTCCTTTGTGAACGACATCTTCGAGCGTATCGCAGGGGAGGCGTCTCGTCTGGCGCATTACAACAAGCGCTCGACTATCACTTCCCGGGAGATTCAGACCGCTGTAAGACTGCTGCTGCCGGGCGAGTTAGCCAAACACGCGGTGTCTGAGGGCACTAAGGCTGTTACCAAGTACACCAGCTCTAAGTAGATTCTATCAAAGAACATAAAACCCAAAGGCTCTTTTAAGAGCCACCCAAATTTTCAATAACCGAGCTCAAAACACTGCTTTGTTTTCCCTGATTGGGGTAAGTGTGATTGTTCTAAAAATGTTACCTCACAGAAAATACATGTTTTAAAAATCTAATTATATCTTAACTGTTCCTAGGAAATGTACACTAAACATTTAAATCTCAATTCTTCTTTGCGATGTCTAAAAGCTTTATCGTTCGATCAAAGGTTCTCGCCTCAACTCTTACATACATGCTTGGAGGCATTCGAATAAAACATGAATGTGCCAGTTTGCATGCTTAGTAGTCAAAGCACCTTGCTAGGTTTTTACTTAGCCAATCCCTTGTTGAGATGCATACATCTTGGTTTTCCGGAAAGTAAAACACTAACAGGACAGTAACTATTACTATATAATAAAGATTTCAATTATTTCTATTAAATCCTTAATTAAAAAAATATGTCGCTTATTTTGTGGGCGTTGGGAGGAAGGGATTGTAGGTTGTCACCCTTTAGATAACCCCAAAGTGCAATATAAAATGGTATCGAATTCCCCACCAAACTTTCGGCATATGCTGTATAATTTTTCTTCGCTGTCGCAGTCTGGTGAGGTGGGAATGTTGTAAGGAGGATGGAGGTATTCAGAATCACATATCACAAATCTGTCGCTTTCAAGCGGTGGGCGAGGGATTTAAAGAAAAATCAGCAGGCATTAAAATAGGATTTTATTAAATTACTATGAGGACGTAATCGAGGCTATGTGGGCTAGAGGGAGCGCGTGTTCTGTGGAATCAGATGATGGAGGGCGCGGGCGCCGGAGGCGGTATAGGCATTACCAGAGGACAGAAAGAAGGCGGGAAGGGTCAATTCTTTCCCTCCCGGCAGAGCGCGGGCTTTTCAAATATTTAAAATTGTCCAATGCAGTTTGCCTTTTTCCGCCAGCCAATCAGGGGGGAGACTTTGGTTATATATTCCGGGGTTTGCTACAGCGCGTCTTGTTTGCCTTTGTCTGAAAGCAGGTTTTCGTAGTTAGTGAGAATGGCGAGGACAAAGCAAACAGCTCGCAAGTCTACTGGGGGTAAAGCTCCCCGTAAACAGCTGGCTACTAAAGCTGCCCGTAAAAGTGCTCCTGCGACGGGAGGAGTGAAAAAACCTCATCGCTACCGGCCCGGCACCGTGGCTCTGCGGGAGATTCGCCGTTACCAGAAATCTACTGAGCTGCTCATCCGCAAGCTGCCCTTCCAGCGCCTGGTCCGTGAAATCGCCCAGGACTTCAAGACCGATTTGCGCTTCCAGAGCTCGGCTGTTATGGCTCTACAGGAGGCTAGTGAGGCTTACTTGGTTGGGCTTTTTGAGGACACCAACCTGTGTGCTATTCACGCCAAGAGAGTCACCATCATGCCCAAGGACATCCAGTTAGCCCGGCGTATCCGCGGAGAGAGAGCTTAACATTTCTAATAGAGGGCGTTCATGCAACCAACTAAAAAACCCAAAGGCTCTTTTAAGAGCCACCACGTTTACACTGAAAGGAGCTGTATTTCTGCTTTAATATTTGAATGGATTATACAAAATAAGAGTACCAAAAAGATTGCGGTCTACGAAGAAGTAGACGCATGTTTCGTTTATTGAAAAAAGTGCCTAGTACTAAACGACTTTTTTTTATTCATGTTTAATTTGGTTTAAGTTGCACCAGAAAGACTTAACACTTTTTTACATGATATAAGGAACAATCAGTTAAAACTTGCAGGTTACTTTGGCCACTCACATTTTCAGTGGAAGAACTCTGTTGGTAAGTGTAATAATCATAAAAACAAACACCCACAGCATTTTTTTTTACTTTCCACATTTCAGTTAGCTAGTTTAGCCCCACAAAGCCAAGAGTTAGCACAAAATGACGGTACTAATGACTTGCTGCTTGCAGTATCTATCCCTCTTCAGACCCCCTCTTGAAATCATGATTAATTTTCAAAGCGTGAATTTTTCACTTTATCCGTTTCCCATACGCACGCTGACCCGCAATGAAGAAAATATTTTTCACCCAGAGCAAAAATTACTGTTATGTCTTAGAACCCACCTTAAAAATGTTAATACTTTTTGGTTACTGGTTTTCTACCTGACCAGTTCTATATCTACAGAATATAATTAATGATGTGAGATTACAGTCTTTTCCAGCTTTTTATCTCTTTCGAATTTAGCACTTACAAAAAGTTGCTACACTTTGTTTTTAAGACCATATGTGTATATTTTATAAGAAATACATCACTGGCCCTGTCCTCATGAAAAGTATATGAATTGTTAAATGTAACGGGTATTTCATATTCTATTAAAACCAAACAAAAACATGGCTTATTTTTTTATCTGAAACCATGCTGTGTGAATGAGACAAAAATAAAATCTAAATCTTTTGCCTAATATTTTAGTTATTGGCAGCTTTTTTATTTTGGGCGATTCCCTCTAAATTTCAGTATACTCTGTGGCTTTTGCAAAATAGTATAGGTTAAAAATAGAGAATCGGCCCTTCTGGTGGATGTTTGAGTGATTCCGGAAAGAGCATTTGTGTTGCAAATATGTTATTCGTAATGTGGATTTAACCACCGAATCCGTATGAAATGTCCTCCGTTCCTGCCCTGTCAGAGCACAGCCCAAATCCATGTCTATCAGTCTTTTGCTGGGCGAGTTCAGCTTCAGTGTAGGTCCAAGAAAACCATCACGGATCTCTTCCTAGATCAGTCACGAGATACGCTTCATGTCCCCCAAGGTGAGCCAGGATGTTATCCCTCAGTCTGCACTCTGCTGTGGTGCTTTGCCGGGTCTTTTCCCAAACTCTTTACCTACGACCACCAGACGTGAAAATACAAAATAATCATGGTCGCGCTTCATGACGCTACCCGTATCCCCGAAGTCTGACCCGAGGTAAAGATGGTAATTTTTGGCGCAATTCCCTCCCGCGCTTCCATTCTGTACGCAACTGGGTTGAGATTTCCCAAGGCATGCAATAAACTCAAAAATAGATTTCAGAGAAAACAATGCCCCATTTAGGATTCGAAAATCAATATCAAGTCCAGCGTTATAATTTCAATGGAAACTCACATATCCCCTTAGTCTTGGAGATTGCGTTAAATATATGACTCATAACAAGAACGGATTTCAAGATGCATTTTCTGTTACCCCCACCATACCCCTCCCCCATTTCCGGTTGATCATCTAAGAACACAATTTTACAAGGTGGTGACTTGAAATTCCCAGCATATTTTCGTGCTTCCTCTAGTAGAACAATTAGCTATATTCTGTAAAATACACTTTTAAAAAATGAGGCCTATTTTATTCGTGTTGCTATTTGAGATTATGACCCGCTCTAGCTTTAGCGAAGGACTTGTCTTAACTGCACATACCCTGTGCTCAAATCGATTGATAAAGTGCCGTGGAAGATTTCCAGGAGTAAATATATATACACGCACAAAAGGGGGATCAATTTCTACTAGCGTAACAATCTTTGGTGACCTTTCTTCACACTAGCTGTTGCTACTTTTTTGTTTTTGTTTTAATGCACCTTTGTTTCAGGAATTAGAACTCTGCAGCAAAATCGGACCAATCAGATTTCCTGACACACCATCTTCCTTTCACTGCATTCTGTGTTTTACCGTCGCCATTTCTAACGTTTAATCAGAGCGGACTAATCTGAAAAATAAAAATAAAATAATCCAAATCAAAAGTGCTTGCCTGGTGTTCCATTGTCTTGACAGTTTGTCCTGTCACTTCTGAATATATGAATAACGTGTTCCCACTCGCTCTTCCCCCTCCCCCCACGTCGCTGTTGAATATCTGCTGGTCTAGGAGATTTGATTGTTTTCATCTGAGTGAGAGATATTCTTGTAAATGACACATTCACAGTGGGAAAATATATTTAGAAAAAAACATTAGCAGGCTTTTGGGCACTGTGACACTTCAGGGGTTAACCGAAATGTACAGGATGAATCACTACCACCCAGTTACAGTGTGAGAGAGCCTTGTCTGTGCTCAACAGGGGAAAATCCTCCCAACTCTGCTATCTCAATGTATATGAACCCTGTGTATGAACCCTGCTCTTTTCCTCTGCAGGCTAGCAATTAGCACATCCCACCTTGTTACACTTCAGTGCCCAATCCCTTTTCCTCCTGGCACCCACAATGTACACCGATCTGCTGTCTCTGTGTGTCCCAGCTCACCACTCTCTCTTCAGTTCAACACTCTCTTTAGTGCAAGGCACTTGGACGTGTCTATAGTAAAGCTAAATATAAGTTTATTTAATTCAGTTTAAGAAAATTATCCAAAATAGATGTAAGTAAAATGAT